AACCTGCCTTTCTGTGATATTCTTTGTTAAACCGAGTTTTCTTCGTGATGTTCTTCACTTTTCCAGCATAGACAGAATTCAACTCAAATTTCAAAACATTTCCTCTTCATTTTTGAGATAAGAGTTGGCTGAAGTAGTGAGCGTAGCTAGAAGAGATATGCTGTTTCACATTGGAAAACGACTTCATAAGCACACTAAATTTTTACTATCGTCAAAACATCGACTTCACTCTAGGAAGATCTTTAAACTTTGCGGGAAATTCATTTCACGTGAAATATTATGTTTGGAAAAATTTGTTTCCAGTAAATTCTGCCCTTCCAAGTAACTGATCACAACGTTTGTAGTCCCTTAAAAGCGTTTATCTCGCAGTAGCGTGAATTTAGGATATCGGTTCTACCTCTTGGAATGATTTAGAAACACCCACTCGCTATTCTAAGTTTCTTCACTGAACCCACGTCATTAGTGTCAAAGGGGAAGCGTCCAGGAGAACCCGGATTCGTCCGGCTGGCCTCCAGACGGGTTCGGAACCGCCAAGAATTGCCCCACTCAGGAGAAATTGAGTTATCAAATAAGGAAGCGCCCAACCCAGGATAGACCAAATAACTTCGAGTTAGGAAGAGTATTAGAGATTATGTTCATCGTTCATCCTGATACCAGTCTGAAGGGCGCGTCCCGAGGGTATTGTAATTAAACAGACTCAGTGTCCATGTGTGTGGCGTGTGTAGTACTCTAGGCGGCGCAGTATGATAGAGGCGGAGCCCCCAAGTGGCGGCCTGACGCAGACGCACCTGAACGTCTGGCGCTGCTGCCGCTCCGCCCTCCGCGCCCGCCACCGCCGCCCCGGAGTCGTGGCCGGGGGCGCGCGTCGCCGTTGGGCACGTGGAGGCGCACGCCTCGTGCTGCCCGCGCGCCGCGCGGTCCTCCGCGCGGCAGGCGCACCAGCGACGCCGACGACCCGTGCGTCGACGCCGGCCCCATGCAGTTCTCCAGCGAGCGCGAGTTGCGGCGCGGCTTCGCGCGGCCGCCGGAACGGGTCCAGGGAAAGGGTCTCGCGCAGCGGCGAGCGCGCCAGCGCGCAGCAGCCGTTGTTGTCCAGCGGCAGGTGCTGGGGTGGGGCGGCGGCGGGGGGGCAGCCGGCGCGGCATGCTCGTCCTCGTCGTCGTCCTCCTCCTCTCCGCTGTCACCCAGCTCCTGTGGCAGCAGTGTTCAGCTGGCGTCCACGTGAGCGTGGCCTGAGTTGCCACGCTGCCGCTGCCCGACGGAATGTACAGCGGGGACGTGTCTACCATGCGCGCAGCTGGCGAGACAGGCGGCGCTCATCACTATTCATCCTGGTTCCTGTGCGCTTACTTTCTATTCATAAGCGCATGACTAAGCGCTTACTTTGCTATTCATCATGCAACTTGACGAGTGACTTAACGTTGAGAGACCCATTTAATATTATTTATATGAATTATTTATGGAGGAAAATACAGATAGTTTTTATGTGATTAGAAAAAAGTAATATCTATGTCAACATTTCTTGGTGCTTGAAAAGACATAGGTTAATAAAATATAAAATGTGATTTCGTAACATTTGAAAGCATTTCGGGAGAAAAAGACGTATGGAATGAAATCGGCAAATGAGAGACCGACAGAGAAGGAAAATTGGGGAAGAGATGCGAAAATAATATGAGAAAAAAAAGAAGAAAGAAAAATTTATACGACAAAGAACTAATAGGAAGATAAAAGAGTGGAACATGAAGAGAGCAAGTAGGGACGAGAGGGGATACACAAAGATAGAATAGAGAAGTTAGGAGAGAGAGGCAGAGACAGAGAAGAGGGCCAGATGGGCAGATGACGCAAAGGAAAGGTGAATGCGAAAGAGATGAATGAGAAAGCGAGGTGAACGAGAAAGAGAGGTGAACGAGAAAGAGAGGTGAACGGGAAGAGAGGTGAGAACGGGAAAGAGAGGTGAACGGGAAGAGAGGTGATACGGGGAGAAGAGAGGTGAACGGAAGAGAGGTGAACGAGAAAGAGAGGTGAACGGGAAGAGAGGTGAACGGAAAGGAGAGGTGCACGAGAAGAGGTGAGAACGAAGAAAGAGAGAGGTGAACGGAGAAAAGAGAGGTGAACGGGAAAGAGAGGTGAACGGGAAAAGAGAGGTGAACGGGAAAGAGAGGTGAACGGGAAAAGAGAGGTGACGGAAAGAGAGGTGAAACGGGAAGAGAGTGGGGAATGAAGGGAAAGAGATTGGTGAATTGGGATAAGGTAGGTGAAATAACTCGGGAAGAGTAGGTGATAGAGAAGATTAGAGATTAATGAGGCATGATTCACGGGATTATCGTGTGAAGTGGAATGTTTGACTCAATTATACAAAAGTAAGAATAGAATGCGCGTAGGGTTATTGCGGAGCAGCGGTCGGGTTGCTCGGGGGTGGGTAGCCGCTGGGCTGGAGCGCTTGGCGGCGGGATGTCTGCTCCGCTGGTGCGCGCGGGCGCACAGTGGCGCTGACTGCCGCCGCGCGTCCTTCGGATTAGGGAGCTGGCTTGTGCGCTGAATCATCGGGTCAGATGTGCGCGGGCTCGTGCGTCGGTCCGCAGATATGCGTGCGGCGGCATTTTCGTCAGCGCTCACTCGCGTCTCGCTGCATGTGCAGTCCCTGTCGCGCCTCAGTCATCAGAGTGTCGCTACTTTGTCCAATCACTCTCATATTACGCCACGCAAAGTTAGAGGATTCATTCAGCGTGAAGGCTTCAGGTTGATGGCGAGCGTCGATGGCAGTGATGCCGATTTTTTCGACCGTCATCATCGTGGGTCTTCTTCCGATGCCTGAGAGAGACGCGCTGCCTTGTCGCGGCGTCATTCGCCTTCTATGACTCAAGGCGCGGAAGCCTGAGATTATATTTGGGAATTCATCATGTTTCAGGCAGTCACCGTTTCGTATGGTTATTTTCTGGATAGAGAGTGGGATTGGTTTCATTTGCGGGAGGTTGGATGTGTTCCTCCCATAGCTAGAGTGGTGACATCACGGGAGCAGACGCTATACGTCTGCTAGCTGAGGAGTTTCCCATCTAGGAATCTCCTCCAGCGGGGTCGCGGCCGGAACAAGCTTGAACTTCCCGACATGCGTGGTAGTGAGGTGCACATAAGTGTAAGTGTGTTTGGGTAAGGGGTGACCACAGGACAAGGAAGAGAATTGAAAGATCACGCGCGGTCTGGGGCCCGTTTGTTACAGTCCTGCTCCGACATTCGCCTGGTATTGATCAGCGAAACCGTGGAAAACTATTGATCCGAGCAGCTGGAGTCTAGAATTCTTCTCCAGACAGCAGCAGAATCGACCTACATCTACCTATAGCTATTGTCGAAAATCACCACCTTAAGACATCCCAGACAGAGTAGATACTGAAATGGGAGGGGGTTGATTTTCGAAGGGCAGAAAATCCTTGGCAAGTGACCGGTATAATTACACCTTACGTTCTTGTGACGGACAGTTCGGATAATAACTGACACCGCAACCTGGCAGTGAATTTGCGACTACATCCAGGCGCTGTAAGGGGCACTACCGAGGCAAACAATATTCTAGATCGCGTCTTCTATATTAGCTTCGAGTGTGGAATGTCGATCTCTGCGTTTAATTTGAATGAAAACATTAAATAATTAAGGGCACGGGACCGGCAAAGTGCTCTTTAAAGCTCTTCGGCATGAAGAGCATTCTCGGATCGTAATGACATAAGTAATTAGCCTGTTTGAATGTCGTTTTCACAAAGAAAATAAGGAATTTTAACAAAGTAAGTTATCGTTGGGTAACTTCGCAAAGTAGAATTATATCTTAATATATAAAAATGTCATCTGTTATCGAAATGAACGTTAATTTTACTTTCCATTCACGAGAACATTTATTATGACAATTGGTGCATGTAGTGACACACGTAATGAATTCAGATACGAGTGAAGGGAATTTCGGTTGCGACTTTGTCTAGGCAACACACTTGACGTACGGGTAAGGCAAATTGCCTATCGACCAGGAGACACTTTTCAATTCGCGGAGTAAAATTTCAAAATTTAAAATACGAATGCTTCTGGAGCTGATGAGATTACTTTATCCATCGGGTAACACATGTACAACCTTCATAACATACGAGACGTGTTTGGTGGTGTTAATTTGTTTCACATGACATGATGGATGTCAAATTTATGAGTAGGAATGTCAATGGTAGGACCTCGTCTTCCATGTTACGTTCACGAGATGTTATTTCGGAAAGGTGTTGAAGAAATTCATAATTGAGAATTATCCAATCCCAAAGTATAATATTTGAAAATTGTTTAGTACAAATGTGCGGATGAATAAACTTACCAAATTACCGATTATCACTTAATATACTTCCGGCAATGGCTTAAAATTGTGAGAGAAGCATAATAACCTACAAGTCTGCGAAATATCTCACCTGATTCGTTATTAACTACAGATCTCGGGGGGGGGACCTTCTATTGATGTGCAGCTGTTTCTTATATGGGCAGTAAACGGATAAAATCGGTGGTTCCGACGAAATGTGCAATTACATTTTGAAAGAAGACAAACAGGAATAATTTATAATACGTGAGGAAGATAAAGGAAATATGACTCGAAATATGTTTGATCAAATATGTGATCAATTGCAATTCAACGTAAACATTTTTGTGAAATATTATTTATTTCGTTTTCCTCACGTATACTCGTAAAAAGTTAGATTGTTAATTGTGAAAAGAGTTAAATATTGAAAATTCTTCACGTAACAGATTAAAAAAGAATGAAAATGAGAAAAAGGAAAAAAAGGAAAAATGAGAGAAAAAGAAAAAGGAAAAAAAGGAAAAATGAGAGAAAAAGAAAAAGGAAAAAAGAAAAAAGAGAGAAAAAGAAAAAAGAGAAAAAAAGAAAAAAAGAGAGAACAAGAAAAAAGAGAGAAAAAGAAAAAAAGAGAGAAAAAGAAAAAAGAGAGAAAAAGGAAAAATGAGAACAAAAGAAAAGTACAAATGAAGCCTCAGAGCCCAGGGCTCGCAGCCCCGTCACGTACCTCGCCCTTGCCCTTGAGCGCGACGAGGCCGCGCTCCTCCACCAGGTAGCCGCCCAGCTTGTCGAGCGCCGTGCGGCACTGCGGGCTGATGTGGATGCGCAGCGGCTCCCCGGTCGACTCCATGCGCGACGCCGTGTTCACCGTGTCGCCGAACAGGCAGTAGCGCGGCATCGTCAGCCCCACCACGCCCGCCACCACCGGCCCTGCCGCACACGCGCACACCACGCCGTGAAATTGAAATTGTTCTCGTCTATTCCACGTATGAAATTACAAAACCAATAGTGTTTAACTTTACATATAAAATGCCCTAATCAGAGCGGTGTATCTCAAACAGTTTAGAGCTTTGTCTGTCTGATTGATCGTACCTCCTCTCCCTACTGACCAACATTTAACTGCGACTGGAGGCGGTATGTACTATCACTGTGTTAATAAACCGCGTACCTACTATAGCATAACCTTTCTGATGTTAACATATTTTCATATATTCAATAGGTGATTTACAGTTTATAATTGGCATTTGGTGTATATATACACTCTACGCCGTGATTTGGGCATTTTTTATGTATAAATGAAATAATATAAAATAAATTGGTTTTCATTTCACGAGTGGAAAAGTGAGAATACGATAACAAGGCCAGATCTAACGGATAGTCAGTGTGAGTTAGGAAACTAAGAATGTGCAAATCTGAAGAAAAAAAGATATACTTTCAAGAACTTATAACATTATTATGTCATATTTTAAATTGTGAAATATTGGGTGGCAAACTACACGTTGTGTTTTAGTTTACTCTCAATCAGACCCCTCGAAAATCAATACATGGCCATCTACTTTCCACAGGACTACTACCATAAGTAATCAATTTTTAATATATATTTGACTATAACGAATGCCATTTGTATGTACGGGAAATATAATTTAACTGCTGTATCTGAATGAACGTAATCTTTTCCTTACAAATATATCGTGAGTTTTTAATAATTGCAAATTTCCCGGTAGCCGAAGGTAGATGTATCTGATAGTGTAGAATTTTCTCATCACTTACCTGTGTGTATACCAATTCGCAATTTGAGGATATCATTAGGCCGATGGACAATGCGGTGGTTTTTCACGGCATCCAACAAATCCAAGGACATAGAAGCAATTTCTCCTGCATGCCGGTCATCATTTTTAATTGGAAGTCCACTCACCTGAGCGCAGAGTGCAACAGCATTAATTAACAAGTAAATATTTCATTTTAGATTTACGGAAGAGAGATGAAAACGAACAAAATGAGAAATGATGTAACAAACACAAAGAAGTAGAATGCATGAAATTAAAATAACGGAAAATATTGGATAATTAGAATCTAATGGAAAGAGTCGGGTCATCAATAAAGAATTGATAGGAGAAAAATTGACCCTACAAATTATGAAGAAAATTCTCCTTTAAATGTTTTAACGGATTTTTTACAACATATATAAAGAAAATATTTTTATTTCAAGAGAATTTTGACTTCATTACCTACATAAGAAAGGAATAGTGTTTAAATGGAGATGGATTAATAGTTATTATCCTCTGGCAAAAAACATTGAGAATTACAATGCCATTCAAAATATTTAAATTACATTGAGAGTTACAAAATTAGTGAAGTGATTTATATATTTTTTGTAGCATTTGTATGTATTTGTAGCGGAGTAAAGGTGGAAATCTGAGCAGAGAAGAAAATATTTCAAGGGTCGAACATTCATATATTACTTAAATAGTTGTATTTCTTACCACCATGTAAGCATCACCAATGGTTTCCACTTTGTACACATCATATCCTTTAATGATTCGATCAAATAATGTATAGAGATCATTTAGAAAGTTTACCACCTGAAAGAGAAAATTCAATTTATATTTTTGCCTCAACAAGTAAAATTGTCAACAAGAGTGAGAGGAAGTGACCGTTTACCTGAAGAGGAGTGCTTTCAGCTGACATCGCAGTAAAACCTACAATGTCGCTGAAGTAAATTGTCACTGTCTCAAAGCTTTCTGGTTCAACTCCATAACCTTTGGTAAGTTGATCAGCTACGGGCCTAAAATAAACAAATATCACTCCTTCAAAATGGGAGACCACCTCTTTCAACATTCACAAAAAAGAAATAAGTTGAAATATATTTAGTAAATTCTCAGTTGTATGTTCATTATAAATCAAATTTACTCGAAATTATTCATCACCTATATACTTATAGTAGGTAATTTACAATCTTATAACTATGTTTTAAATCTTTGCACTTACGCTGGCAACATCCGATTTAGCAAATCAACAGTTTTGCGCTTCTCTTCAGCTAATTGCCTGGTGCGCTCATTAACTAAAGCTTCTAAGTTTTCTGCGTACTTTTCCATAATTTCCATCATCTGATCCATGATATTGCGATGCCTGTGAATTATTATTGCTTATTAAAAATGTACATTTTAAAATACAATGCGTCAAAAACTGCATAAAACATTATATGTTCTTCAGTCCAATTGTGTAATGGCAGACTAAAAATAATGTTAGTAAAATAAGAATTCTTTTTGTGAGAGCCAACTTAAAAAAAACCTTTTTTTGTCTTTTTTACAGTAATCAAATAGATGGAGGAAGGAATAAACACAGAGATATGCATTCGTGAGAGAGAATTCTTATAGCAAAAAATATTCAAGTTTGATTTTTTAATACTAACAATGGAAATACATAATAATAATGGTCTCCTCACCTTCCACTTCCTTCCTTTAATGGCCTGAGTCTGGTCCGAAGTGTGGAGAAGTCAGGCCTGTTTTCTGGAGCCTCACTCCAACAGTCTTGAATGCAGTCTATCACAAAGTCTTCACACGGCGTCTCCTCCATTTCCAGTAGGGACAGGTCAGGTCGAAATGGCTTCTGTTCGGGCTTTGGCACTTTCTTAACCATTTCAATGATTTCTGAAAAGAAAATAATAAATGAAATAATTTTCAAAATATGAAATGTTCTTGCAGCACAGTAATAGAATACTTCATCTTATTTTCGTTTCATTTGGCATTAGAAACATTACTGATTGGTGATAAATAAACTTTGTTGGTTTACAATTTATTCTTCTTAATATAATTTACTGTACCGCTGTTTATTAAGATTGTACATGTAAAGTAGGACATACAAATACAGATGTAATATTTCAATTTCAATTCAATATATGTTCCCTTTAATGTTTGAAGCACATAGTTACAAGAAGTACCTGAATGTATCCATTGTTTGTGGAACTCATAACTTTCTATTAAATACGATTTTAAAACTAAATTATTTTTAAATCGTTTTACGTCAAGAATTGCACTCATGATTGCTCTAGTATGTGAAGAGATAACATTGCATCTAGAAAATTCATTGTATTACAAATATGTACACCTAGAAACAAGTACTATCTTTACTTGTAGGTAGAGTTGTATTCATACGTACGAAGATAAGCGTACAACTGTTGGCTATTCTTTTACCTTCCCCTCCCCGCCGTCACACTGCCACTTAATAAAGATGATTACGTGATGAAGTAATAAAAAAGGATTTATGCAGATATACAAATTATAATGTAACATTCTTATTCGCTCGACAGATGTACAAACACCAGTGTACCACTTTCAAACACTGCCAAGAAACGAAGAAAACTATTAAACTTACCAATGATCCTATTACTGCTTGAGACAAATTCCATTGTTGGTTTAAAGGAGTTATACACATCATAACGTCCAACGCAATTCACATCAGAATTCAAAAATCCCATTTGAAAGAGACAGAGTGGCATGTTAAATGAACGAGAAAGGCACAATGGAAATTAAAGCTCTTCCTTATTTCAAAAGTCCTGAGCTCTCGCGAGCCTCTTCGCTATACCACTGTCAAATTGACTGACACAACGCAACAAAATAAAGCTGCCGGCAAGGAACACGGAAAGCTGATTATATCCCGATGGAGGAGTTAAATCCGTCAAGGCTTAATACTGCGGCATGTGACAAACCAATAAATTCACATACGTGTTTGCTTTTCAGTTTTCTGCAAAGATAACCTGAATTCGTTGGTATACAGCGAAATCTACAGAGAATCCCAAAGGATGACAATCGCGAGGACACATATCACAGTCTCTGAGAGGAGAGGTAAACCGCGATAAAGATCTGGAGCGAGGTTAAATACCGATAACTTCATACTACACAAGGCACAGGCATTTGGCGGAAGCTCTAACTACAAATGCGTTTACTGTGTGATGTGCTCATTACGGCTGCACACAGTAAAGGATTTTGTCTTGTTTCTTAGATAACTCAATACGGACTTTTATTCCTCATTTCCATCTCCCACTCTTCTGTATGTCGCTTATCCTAACGTGTACTATTACAATCCTCCTTAAATAAATTTTTGTGGTGCGAGGAACTGGTCGTCATCAATTGTCTGTTTTCTATTAAGGTACTGATGTTAATCTTCCACACAAAAGTTATAGAATGCCATCAAAATCGATGCCTTCAAAATATGCTTGAAGTTCGTTGTGTTAAGACTGTATAGTGTTGTTTCGAGTTCTTTAACAATTCAGACTAAATTTCGGAAAATTTGTTTAGCCAGGTGACTGATTGTGGGAATTGTTCTGCTCGAGAGGTTTCGAAGATCGTGGCTTCATTGTCTGAGAGTCCGTACGTCTAATGCGAGGTTGCCAATGTTTCGTCCGTCAAACTGCAGCTGTTGTATTTGTCGGACGAATGTATTTATCTGAAGGAGGTCTTAGTAAAAAGCGCATTGACTGCGCTCACGGAAACCTTTGTCAACTATGATGAAGATAACTTCTCTCACGAATCCACACAAACAGTAATAGGATTACTATATGTTCACGAATGGGGATGGGGATTGGGTAGCTTTGGCAGGTACCATTTGAATTCGGACTTCTTTTGCAGTTATTCAGGAATTCACCTACTGTGAAACAAACTTAGATAACGACGGTATCTGACGAGAAAATCTCAGGGGAAGTAATATGATGCACTCTCCTTTATATATAAAAATATTGGCTCGCCGGAATAGCTCTACATCTACCTATCAGTTCTAAATCATATTCAAAACATTCATTTCCCACGAATTTCTTGTTACTTTTTGACCAATGATGGAAGGCAAAGCATTTTTGTTTACAACACATTATCGTCTCACAGACTGAATATAATATCCTGAATAAATACTAATATAGTAAGTTATTCTGAAAGAGTCTTTAGTACAAAAATATAATTCAAATAAAATTTGGATATATTTAAAATAATGGGGAGACGTGAGTTGTATCCCCTTCTTCCCAACCAAAGTTCCTTCTGGAATCATGTGTTCATGAATGGTGTATGTTACCGAGTAGATGACCAAAAGCTACAGTACAATCGATGTGTACCTTTGGGCTCCAGGGGACAGCCTCCATAAGGCCCCTTCTTGCCGAACATTTCGTACAGGATGATGGCGAAGGCGTACACGTCCGCCTTCTGCACCGCCTGCACGTCCGCCTTCTGCCGGCAGGCGAGGATGTGGGCCGACGGGTCCCGCAGCATCTCGGGCGCCTTCCAGAAGAGACCTGCAGCGACAGGCATTCATTTACAATATTATCATTACACAACTAATGGCTGGTGGAATCGTCGATGGGTGGAAACGCTAATGGGAGACTAAAACCTTCCTGGAAATCGACCATCAGTTTTATGTCTTATGGATAAATCTGTTTCCTGCTTGTCATGTCTGCATTTGTTTTTGACTTATTTTTAGACTGCAATTGTTATTAATAGTTTCAATATTATCATTTAAGGTTGAAGAAAATCAAAAACTTTTTTATAATTCGTTAATATAATTGTTATTATAATATAATAACATTAATACATGACCATTCAGATACTTTTGGGGTTCAAAATATAAATAATTACCTTAACTAAAAATAATACAAACATTTATAAATTAAACTACGTTTCCTACTAATGTGGCAAAAGAAAGTCGCGATTTCGTCCAATTCGAAATTAGTCTTTGGGATAACACGAGGAACAGTCTCCTATTCGTACGCTACTGTTTCGTTCTAGTGCAATGTCATTCACACGCAAACAATGCAAGAGCACATGCATTCTGATTTATTACATTTCGAATATTATGAAATGTATTATTCAAATACTATAATGGGCTACGTGGTGGTGTAGCTGAAAGAGTAGGCCTCCGCAGCCAGAGTCAATAGATACTTGACTGCTCGGGAGACGCCGCGTCCTAGGAACAGTTGTCAACGTTTCGGAGGTTATACCTTCCTCCGGCATTCACCTTTCGCCTCGAGGAAGGTCGGAATGTGACGTCGGAACGTTGGAAACTGTACCTAGGATGCAGCGTCTCCCGGGCAGCCAAGTATCTATGGTGATTTACCTTCCGCGCCGCAATCACTAGGTGAAAATATCGATGCCGTTCATTCGTTAGATCCTGCAAACCTAGTGGATATTGCTTGCCTGTCTTATCCATTTAGGTCGATAATATATGTTACGCTACCCACTTCCTGAACTACCGTGCACATCTACATAGATATGCCGAATTGTAATCCATTATCAATATTTTATGAACAAAGTTTATGTTTTACTATTGCAAAGGCTTCTCCATTGACATTTTGAGAAGGATCGGGATGTCTTTTATCCCACAGCATCCCTCTTCGCAATGATGGAAAAAACGAGAATGGAAGATAACGCGTCGTTCTTGATCTGTCATACTGCTATGACATTCACATTGAAGTGATCACAGAAATAACGGAACCAACGACCAGATCAGTCAACCTGTGAATTCGATTCCAGTAATCGTCAGATTAAACACGCCGGTGTCAAGAAAATTTCTGACACGAAGACAGCATCGAATCCACAACCTCGCAGGCATCGATTCGATCGAAAGCAAGCCATTGCCTTTATTTTCCCTGCAACCGATGCTGGTTGTAACGTAGTCATCTGTTCCCTACCTAGCAATATGGCCTGTTTGGAAGAAGACTGAATCGAATCCGAATAGACTGGATCGAAAAGGTTCTCAGATCCATGAGTAATGGATTGGATGTAATGTATTGAGGTTTTCATGTACAGTGGAATATCTCAGTAATATTAAGTTAGTATGAAATGTATGTTACAATAAATGAGTTATTTTTTGAGAATAAGTTAAAATTTCTCAACTACTATTGACATACAGTAAGTAACGTTCAGGCGATTGAGATGGTGGCCATACAGTTATCTTACAGGAGCAATACTCATTTCTGAAGTAACGTTCAGGATATTGAAATGCTGGTCATACTGTTATTCTTCAGGAGCAAAACTCACTTCGGAAATGTTGGTGCTCCCCGATGCTGCCGCTGTTGTCAGCACTATGCCGCAGCTCGTGCAGGCCGAAGTCGGTGATTTGCAGCACCCAGCGTGACGTCACTACGCAGTTGGAGCTCTTGAGGTTCCCGTGGCAGCCCAGAGCGGACTTGTGGATATAGATCATCCCCTAGAACGCAACGGAACGGTCGAGTGAAAACTGTGTTCATTACGTGATTGTGACATTGCACAAGATGTTAGGGGCATTATGTAAGCGATTATCAAAAGAATTATGTGAAGATTGTGACATTTTTCGGGGATTAGCATGCTTTTTTCCACTACTTCTTACCTTGATGAGATCATGGACTAGAGAGGAGATGAACATTTTGTCCAGTTTGAGATCTTCGTTTTCTACGATATCCTAGAATATTAAGAAGAAACTCGTATTAAACATTTATGTGTAGAATATTTACTATCAATATATTTTAACGTAGGCTTTCAAACCAAAATAATAATAATTTTGGCTTCTAATTTTTGTCATATTTCCCTGAGTTACAATTTTGGACACAAATATCAGGAGTGGCCAATCCTAATTAACGCGATATTTAATGTTTAACAAAACTGTACCTTTAAGTAGAGACACAGTATCTAAGGAATAAAAATGTTTTATAATGTTTATATATATATGTATATATATATATATATATATATATATAATTATTGAAAAATAATCTGCAAATATGAAAAATATTTTTACAACACTACTTACTAGAATAATAAGTGATTAGTGGCACTTAACTAATAGTAGAATGGGTAGCCCTAGTAGCGCTATTCCCATAGACCAAGCCCTTGGCGTAGTAATAGAAGTTAAATGAACCCGCATGCTATACTCATTTAGAGAGAGCCCTTGGCGCAGCAATCCGAGTTATATTAACCCTCAAGCTATATTTACATAGAGCAAGCCCTTAGATCAGTAATGGTCATTAAATGAACCCTGAAGCTCAACTCATTTAGAGCGAGCCCTTGTCGCAGTATTCGACGTTAAATGAACCCGCAAGCACTATTAACATCGAGAGAGCCCTTCACGCAGTAATCGTTAAATGAATCCGCAAGCGCTACCCAAGTAGAGCGAGCACTTGTTGCTACATCAGGTGCTAAATGAATCCGGAAGCGCTACTCAGACTGAGCGAGCCCTAGTCGCAGTACCAGGTGTCCAATGACCCCGCAAGCGCTACTCACGTAGAGCGAGCCCTTGGCGCAGTAGTCGGTGATGAGCAGGATGCGCATGGGCTCGATGCAGGCCCCGATGAAGGAGTTGATGTTGTCGTGGCGCAGGTCGCGCAGCAGGCGCATCTCCTTCATGACTTCGCGCGAGATGTCCTTGCGGCGCGAGAACTTGAGCTCCTTGATGCGCACGATGACGCTGCGGTAGGTGCCCGTGGGCGCGAACAGCTGCTGGCCGCAGCGCGACTCGCACGACGCCGCGCTCGCCAGCGACATCTACGCCCACACGCGACAGCAAGTGTAAGTGGAAGGTTTCATTGACTGATGGCTGACCTGGATGGCCGAGGTGGCCAGAGCGTGTGCCGACTCGGTCGGAAGGGTCGCGGATTCGAGTCCCGCCGTGGGCACGGTAGTTTATACCTTGTCTTTCATGTATATGATTTGTCGCGTCGCCTTGTGAGTCTGATGACCCTACACCGAAGAGCCCGCATGTGTGTGAGTGTCTAGAGTAAAGAACATGTGTCCCTCCATGAGGAATATAGAGGGTACCCGGCGCGGATAGTCGAAAATCGGCATTCCCTGGAGCTGAATGAAGTCCCGAAGAAAAAAAGTTTAATTGACTGATTAGTGATCCCGGGTGATGCTTCAACTGCTAAGATCATTAGTCTCGTAAGTGTACTACATGTTTCTTTCGGGAGACGGCTGTGATCTTCCCCTGCTGGATGGCGACAACCAGGGCCGACCTACGTCGGTTTGGGGGGATTTTCCCCACCCAGGTATCTCCCAACAGCGGGGAGAAGCTCTGTTCTCCCGAAAAATGTGGTAGTGTAGTGCATCTGAGTGTGTAAGTAAGAGATAAGGAAAGGACAAGGAAGATGAAGGGAAAGATGGCGCGCGGTCTATAGCTCGTTTGTTTGGGCACTGCCCCGGCATTCGTTTGGCTTTGACCGGAAAAAAACACGGAAACTACTGATCAGTTTTCGGTCTCTAGAATTCCCATTCAGACAGCGGCTGTACTCGATATAGCTTTTTTTACAAGTGTCGGGATTCGAATCCTAGGACCTCCCGGTCAGAGGTAGTGGGTATCATCAGATGCCCTGAGCCACCTTTGCCGGTAACTTAAGTAAGGGGGAGATATCAATTTTAAGTGAGCTGTTTGATTAAATTTTTTCAGTAAGTTGTCGTTTGTTTCCATTTTATTTTAGACTGTTCATTATTGTTTATATTTGAGAAAGAAAATAAAACAACACAAGATTATATTGGAATGTTCTAGGACATCGTTTTTCACGTTTCGACTGATTCATAATCCTTTTTCTGGTACTAGGACATGAAGATGAATATCAAACTGAATTTAGTTTAATTTTCTGAGTTTTTTCTTGTCAAATTTCACACTGTGGATACTTTAAGAATAATAAATGGTATTAAAGAAAGCCTGATGCTATTTTGTCCGCTCTTTGATTTCTCCGTGATTAAGTATAAATTTAAGAACTCTCTACAAATACAAATTGAGTCATTTTTTGCCAGACTATCTTTTGAAGGAACTATGTCTAGTTACATAACTGTCTGAACATTTCCCCTGATTTCTAACGATTCTTCTACAAATGCCCTGATTTCCCCTAACTTTTCCCGAGCAATGAAATTCGCTGATTTTTCCCTGTTTTCCATGTTTTTCAGAAAGTGGTCACTGTACGTATATAGGTGTCCCAATCGAAAACAAATCAAGTCAGTTGTATCCCTAGAGGTGATATCTTCAGATTTATAATTGCAAACAGTAAAGAATGAAGTACTTAATAGAGGATTAAATCCAAAGCAGATTTGAGGGAATACTGATGAGGTATTGCTGACGTAATTAAATGGTGAAATAACTCAAGTTTATTTTTTAAAATTGAATAAATGAATAAAGATACCTTTTTAATGTAAAAAAATCAAGTAAATTGACGATGAGGTTTTAAAATTATTTTTTTTTGAAATCTAGTAAGTTGACAAAGATAATTGTTTTAAATTATTTTTTAAATGTATTAATTTTGATTTTAATTACTTCTCCATTAAATCCGAAGCATCTAAGCCAGTGGAAGTGTTAGTTGCAGCTCCACCGCGCGAGCGCCCCCCACGGCCGTGCTCACTCACCTTGCTGGGCGAGGCGACGATGTCGTTGCCGAAGTAGCCGTGCAGGTCCAAGCGGTCGATCTTCCACAGCAGCCCCTCGATCTCCTGCTCGATCTTCCACTTGCGGTAGATGGAGAGCGTGACGACGAGCGCGCAGAAGAGCAGCACGGCGAGCGTGGCGGCCGCGTACATGCTGGAGGAGCGCGAGTCGTCGGGGCAGTGCTGGTTGTCGAAGCCGCACGTGGGCTCGTCCGGCGGACGCGTCGACCCGATCCACCACGGCGTCCCGTCGTTCACGTTGTACTCCTGTGGGACAACACGCACGTTGGCCGGTGGTTAGTGATTCCGAATAGGTCGTTAATTCTGTAAGAGTGGTGCATGATTTTTTCCCCACGGAAGGTGGTGGTGATCATTCCCTGGATGGTGAGATCGGCGCCGGCCTACCGTCGGCTAGCGGGGTTTCCCGTAACCAGGAGTCTCCCCCAACGGAGCACCCCCCAGCCGGGATAAGCTCTAAGGTCGGTCTCCCGGCGTGTGCGGTAGTGCAGTGCATTTAGTGTAAGTGTATGTAAGTAAGGGGTGAATGTAGAGCAAAGAATATCGTGCGCGGTCAGTGGATCGTTTGTTAGGGTATTGCTCCGGCATTCAACTAGTGTTGATCGGTGAAACCACGGAAAACTACTGATTAGAACAGCCGGCCGAAAGAATTCTCTCCCAGACAGCGACTGAATTTGACCTAAGTATCTAGCTAGTGTCGAAAATCCTGCCACTAATGGGACTTGAAGGACCTCCCGATTAGAGGCACCGCAGTGGAGTGGCCCTGAGCCACCTCTCCTTGTGTCATTCCGGAATACAGTGGGACTTCCACGTACACGAAATGAAACATACTCTGATTGATTTAATTGCACGAAAATTGTAATGGTTTGACAAATGGAGAATTGACGAAAAAAGATGTTAGATATACATGATATACATGAGGTAGGTCGGAATGTCAGATATACATGTGGTTAGATGGAAGAGCGGGCCTGATGGTCCGAGTCTTGCCATATAAATAAAGACACTATTATTATTATTATTATTATTATTATTATTATTATTATTATTAAAATAAATTACATACATTTTGTGATTTAAGTAATGTACAGAAAATATTGTAAGATTTACATAGAAAAAAAGAGTTAATATGTGGTTAATGATTTATTACACACATAAATATGTATTAAATTAATATATATTAATACATTCAGATATTGTTTTTTTTCAGTAACAATGGGTACGGTTTCAAAGTGTTTGCATTTTTCCAGAGTTCTTGGATATTAAACGAAACCATACTTTTACATGGCAACGGAAACTATATAGTTTTATTTCAATTTTTGCGTGCATTGTAAATTAGTTATGTATATTCATTTAAATCATTTTCGCGAAGAAATACTTTAGTTTCTAACTTCAATTTTAAATAGTACGGCTACATCAAGAAGTGATTCCCTATTTCATATAGCAATAATGTATAATTTTTCATATAATTAATCAAATTAGTTAAAATGAAAAAGTGAATAGACCAAATCTGTATTCTGAATATCGTACAGCTAAAAAGAAATTACATACCAAATTCTTGGTTGTGCACACTTACCAACTTGCTATTGTCGGTAAAGCTGAAAGTACCAATGGGCCGAAAGTGAAAGTCACATGTATAATTGGCATCTTGTATAGGTTCTGGAACAAGCGCTATCACCGAGAAATTGCCTTCAGAATCACCATTGTGGTCGATTTTTATGACTGCACCGGTTATACCTGCAAAGTAAGAAGTGAATACTTGTTATTTGCTTCCTTTTTTCTCTTTACTCTGGAATAATATATTCCAAGAGCATTCTCATACACAGATATAAGCTATTGCTATGCACCATGTTACATAATATTTGTGATGTAAAAAACTTCACTTTAATCCTTTTTGAAAAATAATTTTAATATTGAACATTTTTCATTGACTGAACATTTTTCATTTACCCAATCACTATGTTCGTTTAAAGATAAAATTACACATTATTTTAACTAACAGTACAAAACACCCTCGTCAATAGATTAGATAACTTTATTACGAAATAAAGACTTATATCTATGAAATCCACTCGCATAAAATATCAAACAATCGGTTCAATTTCACATGGAGTTACACATTATGCACGTCTCTAAATAGGTGGGATAAAATCGAGAAGCACCAAACCAGCAAAAATGTAATATATTGTCCAAGAAGATCTCATCCTCTAGATTGCGATGTGAGGAACGTTTCTTTTGCGGCTACTGGCCTCACGATTCCATGTTCTATAAACATAGAACGCTTCGTTTTGTAGCCATAGAACTATATTGATTCCAACAACGCTGCTCGAGTGTTGAGGGTTGCATTGAATTAATATTTAGAATTTTGTTAACAAATCCTTCGTTTAAAGTGAAAAGGGATTATTCAAATCTCCGTGCAAATGTATTTCTATATATACTTTGTTTATAAGGACTGATTGCGTGTGAGAACTGCAAAACGTCCCTATACTTCTGAAATAATACAGGATGTGATTGATTGATTGATTGCTTTGAAAATCCCTTTTAGTTCCACCCTGGCTTGGCTTCGCTTCGAGGAGGGCGAGCACTCACTGGTGTACTGTCCGCGGTCCTTGACGGTCTGGATGATGAGCGTGCCGTTCTTGGCGAGGCTCTCGATCATCTGCGCCGTGAGGACGCCCTCGCGCTGCTTGTTCTCCAGCACCGTGTGCAGCGCGTCCGCGTACAGCAGCACCGAGTCGTACAGGTAGGACGCGTAGATGGTGATGTGCTTGCGGAAGATCTGCCCAAGTAAATATAGCAGGAATCAATTTAAATTAGACATTATTCTCAATTTAAAAGATCAATAGTCAAGTTTTTTCAGTACAAAAAATATAATATTTTCATTGATAATGATAGTTGTCACTTAGGTACATTTAGTAAATTTGTGGAGATTTTATTAATCGAAAATAACGCATTTATACACAAATGCATATTTTTGCTAAATTTAAATTTAATTTTAGAATAAAACATAATGTGAATATATCAGGTTCCCCTGATAAAACGCAAAGGGGATAAACCGCATTGTTCACTTACTAATATTCGGGAGTGTACTAAATTAAAGAAAACCGTCATAATACACTCAATACTCCTCATTTAATAACCAAATTTAATCTAGATCGTAAAGCTGTGCACCCGTGTCTAATGAAATCCAAATTTCCAAAACATAAATTTTATTCCTTCAGCATACGATAAAGAAAAGCCAAACAACAATTCTAGTATTAAATAAATGCTATCTTAGAACTATTCAAAATTAAACAATATCCAATAGACACCGTTGTAAAGTTAAAAAACCAAAGGGATGCGAATACCTTAATACATGAATATTGTTCTCAAGTCCCACACGGCCGAACAAGAAGTCCGGAAATGAATAGATAAAAAGCACAACCGAAGGGAGCGAGCGCGTACCTTGAGGCTGTGCGGCGTGGTGAAGTTGAAGGGCGGGAGCGCGTTGTAGTGCTCCACGGTGTCGGCAAACACCTGATAGTTGTGGCTGGTGGGCGGCGTCAGCCCCACGATGAACAGCGACCGGCCGCGCTTCACGGCGTCCTCCGTGCACGTGATGTTGTTCATGTGCACCGTGTCTGCAATGCGAGCACGGTGGAAATGAAAATGTTCATGTAGACACGAAGGTAATGCTCTTAACACAAATATGGCTGTCCCGTTTACAATGGCCGTAAGTTTTAAATATGGAGGCACCCATCTACCGAAAAGTTAACACATCGATTCAAGAAAAACTTGACAAATCCGTTATGAAGGTATCTCGAAAGGGAGTAAGAAAAATGTTTTTTAATGGTAAGAGTTACGTAATTGATCGTAAACTCTACGTGTTCCTAATAATGTATACTCGTATTTTCATTTGTAAAATGTATATGGAACTAGGATATAATAATTAAGAAGAATTACAAATTAGTTAACAGTTACTCACCCCACACAAACTTGAGGGTTTCTCGATGTGTGTACGGCATCATGTCCGCTGTAATGACCATGTACTCGCCCTTATCGAACAGCCGCAAATCGTGCATCTGCTTCATCATGTTGACCAGGGACCTGGGCAGCCCCAGGAACACGTAGACTGCAACAACCAGAAACATCGTGTGTTCACAGTGATTTGTCATTTTTTTTCAAGATTAAGAAAGTAATTTTCAAAATCATTCTGCAATGATCCAGAGCCACATCGTGTAAGTTTCACTCACGACGATTTCACAGCTTGGAAGAGTGAGACACATTTGCGATAGTAATTTGTAGTCGTAATCGTCTGGTCAGAAAGGGTATCAAACAACGTTGCATCCTGATTGTATTGCGACTGTACATTATAGGTTTATGTATTAAGGAGCGCTGTCATAATATAAGCGCAGATTTGCTAAGAGCTACTGGCACTAAATTACAATTAAAAAGTTATGATGCGACTGGACACTTTTCAATTGGTACGATAATCCATACATATCATGTTATAAGTATTTTATTTTATATTTATTGATTTGTATGTTATGCAGTCTTGTAGAAATATAAGATTAAAATTAATATTAACATTCTGTGAAAGAGCAGAACTCCTGTTATTTATCATAAAAACGGAAAATATTTACTCATTTAATCTGATTAGTGGTTATAGTTTCCCGGAATTGTTGATAACAGATTCAATTCAAAGAGTTCTAGGAACCCTGGTAAAAATTTAACAAAATTTATCGTCATAGTTTTTTTTTCTCTTGCTTCGCCTCATATTCGTTTGATATATTGCAATTTTCTAATTTGACCATAAATAAATAAAAAATCAAATAAACAAAACGATATTGAAGACCTAAGTGCTGAAATTTATCGGCAAATCGTGTACGCAATGAATCTTTATTCACTGTATTAGAGAAGCGTACAAAATCAGAAGCAGCCATAACACACGCCAAATATTGAGTATACAATTTTGTAATAGAGCAGTGTATATTTATCGTGTACAAATATTTTACACTATTCGATCGACTAGTGTGTTTGATTAAAAGAGCAGATCTCTAATTATTCCTTTGTCTTTCGTAATTTTCTTGTTGATTATGGCTGCTCCCAACGAAGCGTGATGTTAATGTCAGTAGCTTCGGACAATCAGCTTCATGGGACGCGTGTTGCCCTCTTTTAGTTCGCACTGTCGCAGAGTGAGTATGGTGGTGTTCTAGATTTTGTACCACCACATCACAATTGCACGCTTTTCGTAGCAAATAGCGTCACGGTGAAGAGACCTAGTAGCAGCGCGCACGGTCGTCTCCACTTACTCCGCGTGATGTTCTTGCTCTCGTTGATGATCTGGTACCAGAAAGTGTTGCGGCAGCACTCCTCGTTGGAGATGCAGCACTTGGCGGGGTCCTGGAGCTGGCGCTGGTGCGTGATGGTGCTGTTGTACAACTCCTTGGCCTGCCGCATGAGCGTCATCGCCACCGCCTCCCACGGCTCCTCCCAAATGACGGCGAATTTCTTCCAGTCGTAGTACTTGAGCAGCGAGAGGATGGACTTCGTGACCTACCGGGATCAGGGGACAAAGTTTCAGTTGAGGAACTATAGGAAACAATAAAAGTTGGTGGCCAGGCAATGCTCTAGGTAGCCTAATTCAAAATTAAATTCAATTTATTTTCTCCGATGATAAAAGTACGGCATTACGCACGTGAATTATAACTTGAACAGAAATTTTAATTATTTCTTTATTAAGTAAATCGTAAATGATGTTTGCATTGTGAAATTTGAACACTATCTGCTGTATTAAATCCTTAATTACTTGGACTTGAGTCATGGGCCATTTTGTAAGGAATTTTGGCTATTCGTTAATATTTGTTGTGTAAAAAGATGTTGCAAGGGGCGTACCTGAGTATCTGGAGGCTCAGTTCGCGCGAATGTTGGAACGGACGATGGCTTTTCGTCAGAGCAACGCTGAAACACACAAATAAATGAAATTGTTAAAAATTTGTTTGAAGAAATGTATTCTGTGGACAAGGAAAGTAGCACAATAAAAATTGTCATTTTTTAATTCAGTGAATGAATATTTTGTAAAGATTATATTTTACCACTAAAAATTCATTACAATGCTTCAGAAGACAGCCAGAATTATAAGCAAAAAGAATAACTTTGGTCAACAAATAAACGACTTCACTCAACCACCTGCAAAATTACAATTTTAAGATTGTCACTTTTCATGTGCACCAACAATGTGATTTATATTTTGCGTAGGATATTTAATTTAAAGTACAAATAAAACACGATTGTACTTAAATCTGACAAAATAACGCAGTAATTACAATTTATTTTTTTAATATAATTTGGCTCGAGTTCATTGCTTAAAAACCTTTGTTTATGAGAATGTGATGTATTTAATTCTTTTGTAGGTAGTATTATATCTTTGATATTTTCATTCACAAAAATACCCATTGATGTTTGCAATCCCTGTTTTACGACTGTTAGCGTCTTGTTGTTCTTCTCGAATAATGGCCCACCGTCATTTTTAGTAGTCCCCCAGTGCTCTACTTTGAACAGCCCGCGCGAAAGGGTGCACTCCCTCTGTGACCAATTAGTTACGGCTCTCGCCGATAGAGAGCTGAGGCGTCGTCTCAGTTCAGATCCACGCCCTCTCAACAATGCAATTCAAAGTTACAAGAGCGGGATACTTTAGGTACTTTACATGTTATTATTCACGTGTACCAGAAAGTATTCAAGCATCAAGTAATCAAATTTCAGGGATCTCTAATGTTCTACCTTCATCATTTTTTATGTATTTATTTTTCGTCTAACAAAATATATGAAAGGGGAAAGTGCACTGACACTTTAAATTAATTTTTCCTCACAAAAACTTACGATAGTTCTTTTAAAAAGCTTAATTTTTACAAAGGATCTACCATTATTTTTTCATGCACTTCTTGTTTATTGAAACGAATCGCACATTATATTTCTTTGCAAACTTTTAAGTAATCACTATAGTTTCCGTTTGTTTCCATTGATTCCAAACATTATCTTCGTCGGAAAATTCGATATGGTGGGGATATAAGATATGTAATACAAGCTGAGATTGACTACGTAATTACTATTTTGGTAGATGATTTGCTTTGACTTATTGATTGTTTTAGTGATTCCGAACACGTCAACTACTAGAGTCATTAGTCCCGTAAGTGCAGTGACTGTTTTTGCTCGGGAGGTGGCGTTGTGTTTTCTTTAGCTGTATGGTGAGACCCGGCGCCGATCTAATGTGGGCTACTAATTCTCCACTCTTCTAATAAGAAGAATGAAAGTCTACGAAATGTGTTATTTTGTGAGGCGGTTGTAAATATCTTGGGAAGGGAATAATTTTTCGACATTGAAATGGGAATGAAGCGGGATTTTCTTCAGCCAGGTATCTCCCACAAACGGGCATCGCCCCCACACGGTACAAGCCCTAAGCTTCCCAACCGGTCTTCCGGCTGTGCTTGTATAGGGCGTTTTAGTGTAAGGGGAGAGGATATGACAAGGAAGAGGTAGGAATGATCGCGCTAGATCCGTGGCCCATTTTTTTAATGTACTCGCACTGGCAATTCACTTTAGTATTTATTGACATCAAAAAAAACTACCCGATCAGGCTACCGGCTACTGGAATTTTCTCCTCCAAACAGCGACTGATTCGACCCAGCTTCTGCTAGTGTCGAAAAATCCTGCCCAGTTGGGGATCGAAACTTAGTAGCTCCGTTAGACGGCCTGCAGTGAGTTGTTTGATCCTGAGCTACCTCTCTTAGCCCTATCTTCGACCGACCTCCTCTGCGAGAGCTGAGAGCGAGCGGCGGGGTCGGGACTGTGGCGGAGGGCGGTAGCGGTAGCGGGGGAGCGGGCGGGGCGCGGCGGCGGGGCGGCGGCGGGGGCGGCGGCGGCGGGGGGGAGGCGGGGGGCGGCGCTCTCAACGCCACCTGTTGCGCGCGCGGCCCTCGGGGCTTCCGCGCGAGAGAACTTCCAGATTCAGTCGCCCACGGGCTGCGCGCGCCCGCGACGCGCCCCCCACCCCCGAGGATCGAAGCCTTCCTCGTCGAATCCAATCGGGATCGAGCCGGCCGGCGCTCATTCAGTGATTACGAAAGAGAATTAAGGAATGCGGATAATGACACCTAAAGACTTACTTTCATTTTAAATGCATATTTCTAGCTCTCGAGTAACAATTTGTGGTGCCATTTTGTGTATTTGAAACGACACAATTCTTTCAAGTATTGACCCTTTCTCAAGAGGGAGGGTCAATATTGTTATTTTCCGCGAAGAGAATTAGTTCATATTGCACTTCATATTAGTAAAGATAGATGTTATACGATCAACAATGTTGCCCTCCCTTTGGAATTTGCGAATCCCACCGAAAAATGATTGTGGCATCTGTCAAATTGTCATTCTGTTATTGTCTTCAGATGAATTTTTGCTACAAAGTCTTGGACTGGGTGCAATTTTTCAGGGAGGAAGTTGCCACTTATCGTTTCCATAGAGTAACATGTGCCCAGCTGCAGAAGTAGTAATGACTCCATCTAGGAATACATATTAGAAGCCGTCTCTATGATTTCCAAACTCTGGAGTTCAGATGATGGAAACCGAATAAGAGAAATTGAAGAAATAAAACATTCTTGAGAGCATTATTAGGATATAGTCTTATTGTGTTGCAAAGCAAAAATGGTATTCATTTTAATATTTATTCTTTTATCGTCCCCTCGTGAAGTTTTGAAGTCTTCTTTGGAGAAAATAGTGAATTCGCACTCTACCCTTGGAGGAACATGATTCGCATCTCCTACCTGACCTTTACGAGTCAAAGCTGTTATACAATGAACCTCTATAAATCTTCTTTCTGTTTCTGTCTACCTTTGAAAGTCTAAAATGGGAGCTTCGTGTCATCTGAACGGTGTCTGTGTGACCGCTTTTGAATACGTAGAATTTCTTACTCCGTCACCTTTGCGTAACTTAACGTAACAGTAGACACTAAATGTAAGCCTTCCTTTGGGATTTGTGTCCCCTTTGAAATATGATTGTGGTATCTACTAAGAGATTTCATTGTGTTTTAAGTCACATTTATAATAGTCGGTACGCAATGTAAGATACCAAAGCAATAGGATACAAAAAATAAGCAAACATGTATTTCAAAAATATTTTAACTTACAAACGTAGTACAAGAACACATCTCAACAAAAAGTATCTTCATTCTCCACCTATACATTTAAAACTAGTAACGCTCATCTCTGACAACTTTAACCTTTTACAACTCGAGCTGTCTTTTTATTCTTGGCAACTACACTTTCATTAATTCGAAATTTTTCTCTGAGGTTTTTCTCTTCGGATATGAAATACTGCGGATTTATTATTCAGTGCCTGTTAATAAACTTATTTTTAGTGTATTAATGTTTTATTCACTCATTACTCGATTAAACTGTTCGAAAATACCTCACAACTCTGTAGCAGCGTTGTTTTAATTTCATTTTAATCTCATTTCCCTCTTTCTCTCTCCGCATTTTTTCAGTCAACGCAAAGGAAGTAATTGTTGTGGCACTTCGCTCGGAATTTTAAAAAAGTTGGCTCCGACAGACATTTTACCGATCCTGCCTTGTAACATACAGAACGAAGTTATGTGTCTTTTTCACACAAGTTTTATAACGACTATTTTCTTCCAGTTAACTCCATTAAGATCAGAAATCATGCTATATCTCTCATTCCACTACATTAACGCGCGTTGTGATATCATATTGATATAATTACTCTTGCCGCGACAAGAACATAATATCCGTTTACTTAGTAAGATACTGATGTTAAACAAACTTTACTTTTTCCACGGAGAAAAAACATGCACGCATCTTGGAAGCGGAAATGAAACTTGTGTAGAAGACCAAAAATATATAAGCGAAAATTGATCGTGCTATTGACTCGTGCAGTTATTTAGTATTGGTTGATCATCGAACTATGAAAAAATTGACTAAGTTAGAATAAGTTACTAATAAACTAAATAAGTTAGAAGGTTATCTAAGAAGAGACAAAATTTTCTACCTCACTCACACTTTTGGACTGTGATATGCGCTTTATAAATCATTTAGCCAGGTTTGCCTCCATTTTCAATCACTGAAATATTAGCAAGTGTCACCCCGAATTATTCCCTTCCCAAGATATTTACGACCGCCTCACAAAATAACATATTTCCTAGACTTTCATTCTTCTTATTAGAAGAGTGGAGAATAAGTTAATTTGTAAACCACTAATGATACTGAAATTTTGTAAACTGCAGGAAAATACAATTTGAAGCTCGTTAGTCGCTGTGTATTTTCTTTCTTGTACGTACTTTATTGCTACCATCGACTATTTTTTCAACAACTAACTGAAGTCCTGAGCGTTTCCCGAGTGTTTATTTATCACAATTATTTATTAGACAAAGAATAAATGAATTTTACGTGCAAATAACATATAATACTTTTAATTACATACCTGAACCGTCCCCCTCCCTTTCGGCCTACCGCTTCGTCCGCTCTGCGCATCCTCACCGAGATCCATTCCACGCGCTCTATACTCCACCGGCTCCACCCAGCTTCTCCATATCAAAGACCTGCCCCTCCCCCTCCCCGTCCGCCGCGCAGTCACTCTCCAGGCCCCGGACTAGGAGCATTGCAGGTGGCATACTCATTTCCGATACCAAAAAAATAAGGTATAAACCCATTACGAGGAGAAAAAAGAGGAGCCTACAACACGCCTACCAGTGAAAAGTTAGAAATCGGTTTATAAGTTCCCGATATTAGCTCGTAGAAACAGAATCTCAGCCAGAAAGAAAATTGCAATTGCACGATTTATGTGTTTTTATGATTTTGTATGAACTTAAAACATCAAAAATCACAGTAGGACACTTCAAATATATTAATACAGATAGTTACAATTGTTTACGACGAAAGAAGGGGAAATTTGGGAGC